AGCATATTTGTTTCAACTGAGGTAAAATAATCCAATATATAAATATACCACAGTTTATCATCTACTCTCTTACTGATGGGTAACTGCATTGTTTCTAGGATTTTGTACTTGCACACACTGCTATTATGAACATTATTGTCAATGTCTCCTGTTGTACCTGTGCAAGTTTTTATCTAGAAAATCAATTGACACTTCCCCCAGCCATGGATGAGAGAGCCCCTGGATCCACATCCACTGGTATTGATATTTCCATCATGGTTTAGGATCCATGTTGTCGGGTTGCATTCCAGGTGGTTAGATCAGTTTGCCTCACCTCCAGCAATGTAGGAGAATGCCCATTGCCCCAAAGTCCTTCCGACACTGGGAATTTTTTTTTTGAGATGGAGTCTTGCTCTGTCACCCAGGCTGGAGTGCAATCGCATAATCTTGGCTCACTGCAACCTCCACCTCCCAGGTTCAAGCAATTCTCCTGCCTCAGCCTCCTGAGTAGCTGGGACTGCAGGCAGGCACCAGCACACCCAGCTAATTTTTGTAATTTTAGTAGAGATGGGGTTTCACCATGTTGGTCAGGCTGCTCTCGAACTCCTGACCTTGTGATCCACCTGCTTTGGCCTCCCAAAGTGCTGAGATTACAGATGTGAGCCACTGCGCCCAGCCTAATGTTGGAAATCTTTAAAAGATTTTTGACCATTTGATAGGAGAAAGATAACATCTTCCTGCTCTTCAACTTTGTGGTAAGGTACTGACTGCTTCAAAGCTGAGCAAGAAGGGATTTGGTTCAGAGAATCATTCCCAGTCTGGTCATTTCAATGACATTTCTGGAACTGATTACTCAGTGGCTCAGATGCTTTCCCATGTCCTAAAAGAGGTGACACTGTTGGGAGGGGGGAGTGAGGGGGCCAGGATGGAAACAAGCCCAGTCACCACAGTGCAAGCTTGTCTTCTGGTCCCAGCCCCTGCTAGTGTCAGATCACTTTATCTCCTAATGAAACAGGCATTATCTCCCCTACTCCCCACCCGAGAAAAGCCAGTATAATTCTACCCTTTGTTATTTGAATTGATAAATTTAAACCTCCTTCCCTCTCTTCAGTAAAAGAACTTTCTATTTTGGGCTCGGTGACATAGCCAACACCAAGCAGAGAGCAGCAGGCTGCAGCATGAATTAATAGTTTTTCTTCAAGGGAGAGAGAATCCATAAGCAAACAGAAGGCCCTTCCAAACCGTGTCGTCTGCATAGCAACATGCAGCCCATTTGCCTGTCTTTATGCTGACGAATATATTTATGAAAGGCTGAAAATTGAACACTACCTAATCTTCAGAGGAAGCTGGTGCATTAATTCTGAATTAATCAGATTTCTTAATTCAAATCAATTTCCCCCTCCCCCCCCACTCTCTGCACTGGATTAGGTACTGTCAGGGAAGGGAATTCTGTTTTCAAGTGGATTTCTAGTCACCAAAAATTTGAGGAGTACCCAAAACACTTTCCTAATAATATGATTTCCTCTGCTAATTTGTTTTCATGCATGAAATCCACCATATTGGAGTAGGATCCTGGGTCTTAGAACCCGCCCCCCAGGCAGGCAGAGAGGCATGTTCAGAAGAGGGGAATCTATTTAAACCATTGGCACCTGTTTGCATGTAACTACAGCCTGGAAAAATGGGACAGAGACGTAAGTCCTCCTACCCTCTCCTTTGTTAAATTTTTTCTTATGGGAAGTTTCCAATACTCACAAAAGTAGAGATAATAATATGATAAACACCCTTACTTATTACTTGGCCTCAACGATGAACAATATATGGCAGTCTTGTTTTATCTACACCCTACCCCTCCCTCATCATCATTGTAAAGCAAATTTTAAAGCAAATCATAGTTACCTTCATATTTAAATACTATAAATTCTGTAACAAATGAGGACGTTTTTCAATAACCACCATGTCACATATAAAAAAATTAACAATAATTCCTAATGTCAACTGGTAGACAGCCCGAAATCAAATTGCCCTGACTTTCCTAAGTGTCATTCTGTAATAGTTTACTCTAATCAGGAGCAAAACAATGTCATTTGCATTTGTTATATCTCTTACATCTTTTTTTAGTTTATAATGTATGTATGTGTATATATGTGGGTGTGTGTGCATGTGGGCATGTATATACATGTGTGTGTGTGTGTGTGTGTGTGTGTATTATTTTTGTTGTTGTTTTTTGAGACAGCATCTCTCCCTGTTGCCAGAGCCAAAGTATAGTGGCACAATTATAGCTCACTGTAGCCTCGAACTCCTGGGGTTAAGCGATCCTCCCACCTCAGCCTCCCTAGTAGCTGGGACTACAGGCACATGCTCCCATGCCCAGCTACTTTTTATTTTTATTTTTTTCTGGAGACAGGCTCTTACTTTGTTGTCCAGGCTGGCCTTGAACTCTTGACTTCAAGTGATCCTCCCACCTTGGCCTCCCAAAGCTAGAGATTACAGGCATGAACCACTGTGCCAGGTCTTAATTTATAGCAATTACTTATTTTTTTATTGCTCTACTTTTTGGTGTTGTTGAAGATAATGGATCTTCTAGTTATTAGTGCTATGTAACAAACTACCCTAAACTTAGTGTCATAAAACCACCACCAATTTATTGTGCTTACAGATTCTGTGGGGCAGGAATTCAGAAAATGGCGCAGTTGGGAATGGCTTCTCTCTGCTCTAAGCTGTCTGGGGACTCAGCTGGGAAGATTCAGCCTGAGGATGACTTCACAATTGGGAAATAGAAGCAGCTGAAGGATTGTTTACTCACGTGTCAGTGGCTGGGACTGATGCATTCAGAAACTAGGACTGCTGACCACAGCACCTACACATGGCCTCTCTCTGTGTCTTGGCTTTCTCACAAAATGGCAAGTCACACTTCTTACATGGCAGCTTAGGGATACAAATGCAAGTGTTCCAGCCACAAGGTAGGATGCTGTATCACTTTTTTTTTTTTTTTGAGACAGAGTCTTGCTCTGTCACTGAGGCTGGAGTGCAGTGGTATGATCTTGACTCACTGCAACCTCCGCCTCCCGGGTTCAAGCAACTCTACTGTCTCAGCCTCCTGAGTAGTTGGGATCACAGGCATTGCCACCAAGCCTGGCTAATTTTTGTATTTTTAGTAGAGATGGAGTTTCACCATGTTGGCCAGGCTGGTCTCGGACTCCTGACCTCGTGATCCACCTACCCTGGCCTCCCAAAGTGCTGGGATTACAGGTGTGAGCCACCACACCCAGCTGTTTTTTATTTTATTTCTTAGACAGAGTCTTACTCTGTCATCCCACCGGAGTGCAGTGGTATGATCTCGGCTCACTGCAACCTCCACCTCCCAGTTTCAGGAGATTCATTCTCCTGCTTCAGCCTTCCAAGTAGCTGGGATTACAGGTGCTGCCATTACACCCAGCTAATTTTTGTTTTTGTTTTTTTTTTTGAGATGGAGTTTTGTTCTTGTTGTCCAGGCTGGAGTACAATGGCATGATCTTGGCTCACTGCAACCTCTGCCTCCTAGGTTCAAGCGATTCTCCTGCCTCAGCCTCCCAAGTAGCTGGGATTATAGGCATGAGCCACCACACCTGGCTAATTTTGTATTTTTAATAGAGATTAAAAATACGGGGGTTTCTCCCTGTTGGTCAAGCTGGTCTCAAACTCCCGACCTCAGGTGATCCACCTACCTTGGCCTCACAAACTGCTGGGATTACAGACATGAGCTACTGTGCCTGGCAAATTTTTTGTATTTTTAGTAGAGACGAGGTTTCCCCATGTTGGCCAGACTGATCTTGAACTCCTGACCTCAGTTGATCCACCCACCTTGACCTCCCAAAGTGCTGGGATTATAGGCATGAGCCACCGTACCTGGTGCCACCAAGGCCCTTTTTTAATGTATGTATGTATGTGTGGATGGATGGATGATGGATGGATGGATATCCTTCTATCCTCCTTCCTGTCCTTCCCCATAGGCAACCATTCTCATATGTTTAATTATATATATATATACACATACACACACACACACACACACACACACACACACACACACACAGATTTTTTGGGGGCTTGTATGTGTTCATATGAACTATTGTCATTCCCAGCATTAGGTTCTGGCCCATGCTGAGGTCTGAAGGCAGATAATTGACAGAAGAACACTCAGGGGTCTGCAGGCAGATGAAGTATGATTTTATTCAGCAGCTCTCCTACACTGTCTGTCTCTGTCTTGGCTGCTTGCTGTGGCGCTGTGGCGCTGCGGCTCCTGCCACCCTGCGCACAGCTCCACAGCCAGCTCTCCCTACAGGGTCAGCAGCTTAACTCTTTCTATAGGCACAAGCCAAGCTGAGCCCTGGCTCCCCACTGTCCATCTACAGGATGGATAGCTCTGGCTCTGTTTCCCTAGGTGCATGCTGCATGCACAGTGTCAGCAGGGCAGTTATACCTTTTACAAACAATAGTGGCTCCAAGCCAGTTGATGTGCCTTCCCATGTTATGGCTACATAGCTTCAGTTATATATAACAAGTGGAGTTATGTGCCTGCACTTCAATCCCACTGAGTCATGCAGGATGTTTACCTTGGCCTATTCTTGACCAAAGCATATCCATGTACCTTACAAGTGTGTTGTTTGGTTTGTGTGTATTTTAATTTACATTAGTATTATTGTTATATATCTCATTCTGTCTTTCTTTTTTTTCACTTCTCACTCTGTTATTGTTGTGTGTTTTTTTTTTTTTTGAGATGGAGTTTCGCTCTTGTTACCCAGGCTGTAGTGCAATGGTGCAATCTCAGCTCACTGCAACCTCCGCCTCCTGGGTTCAGGCAATTCTCCTGCCTCAGCCTCCTTAGTAGCTGGGATTACAGGCACATGCCACCATGCCCAGCTAATTTTTTTTGTATTTTTGGTAGAGACAGGGTTTCACCATGTTGACCAGGATGGTCTCAATCTCTTGACCTTGTGATTCACCCACCTCGGCCTCCCAAAGTGCTGGGATTACAGGTGTGAGCCACCGTGCCCGGCCCTTACTTTGTTTTTAAGACCTATACATGTTAGACTGGGCATGGTGGTTCATGCCTGTAATCCCAGCACTTTGGGGGGGCCAAAACAGAAGGATCACTTAAGCTCAGGAGTTCAAGACCAGCCTGGGCAACATGGTGAAACTTTGTCTCTACAAAAAATACAAAAGTTAGCCAGGCGTGATGGTGCCCACCTGTAGTCCCAACTACTCAGGAGGCAGAGGTGGGAGGACCAGGAGGTTGAGGCTGCAGTGAGCTGAGATCATGTCACTGCACTCCAACCTGAGCAACAGAGTATACATGTTGCTATGTACACATCCAGTCCATGATTCTGACTGCTGCATAGTGTGCATCCACACATTGGTCCTCTCTGCTTCCCCAGTACTGGGGAAAGTTGGAGGCACCCCCAAGTGTCTCCAACTTCCCACCACCAAGACAATGCTGCCATAGCAGCTGCACGTGTGATTTACTTTAGGCCCATGTGGGAATCTTTAGTCAGTCTCTCGCCTATATGGTGTCTTTATGTGCCTCAGAAAAGGCACCTTTTCCTCCTGGAAGATGCAGCCCCAATAGTAAAGCTGAAGGTTCAGGAATGTGGAGCGTGGGTTGGGTTTCAGCTCCTACTCACTCCGGTGGGTGGAGCCTAGTTAAGGATACAGTCTGTAAAACTGTGGGAAGTGGCCCTGCAAACAAACATCCTCTCCTTCTAACTTCAGCAGGTTTCTGTTGTTTGCAACATCTGTCCTGGTTGGTATAGGAAAGGGGAGGGTCCCAAGTGACTACAGAAATCTCATTATAGGATGTGCATATACTTAATTTGACCAAATATGCCATATTGCAAGAGCGCTTTATACATGGGTAGATGACACCATTTGTGTGTGGGAGTTCCATGGGAACTGGAAAGTCAAGTATGGCTGCAGCACACTGGTGGTAGAGCAGATGTGCCTGCCTGAGGCCAATGTACCGCACTCACCCACTTTGTCTTGGAGATGGCAGGGACACATCTTTTCCCTTAACACTATTGTCTTCTCATGTGTAGGACACAGGCAACGTGACTGGCCTTGTATACCTAGGCCAGCAGCTCTGAGTGACTCTGCCACAAGTGGTGGAGCTCTGGTCCTGAGCCATCCTGCCTCTGCCCTTTGGTGAGCAACCTGTGCCAGACACAAATGGGGACTAACAGTTCCCACTGAAGGACACCAGGACAGGCATAGATTCAGCCATCCAGGATAGCTCTATTCAACTGGTAAGGTTTAAAACCCATCAGAAATTCTTAGAATTCTTGAATTGATCTGAATTCCATTCAGATACATTTAAACTCTCTTAAAACAACCATGTGTAGAGGTAAATGAAACACCCAAATTATAAAGAAAGCTGTTACTCATTTTCATGCTGATATTTTCTCATGACAAATGAGGATAATCACAATGAGAACTTCTACAAGGAGACAGAAGACACAGTTCATGATTTTTTGGGAAGAAATCAATGAATTTTTCAGGTGATTTCTGAAAGATGATCCCAGAAATCAAACAATGACTATCTTTCTTGTGCTTGTGAACTTAGAATTACACCTCAGGACTTATAATAAGCCTGGGTAACAGCCCATTATGCAAGGATGTGAATCACTCTGAATACCATAGCTATGACCATTATTATGGGCAATTATAAGTAAGCAAGGAGGTGGGCTTTGAGAAACAGTACAAAGGAACAGAGGGAGAAATGTATACACCAGTGTGTGCATAAACAGGATCCAGAAGATACTTCCCACCAAAGGGGTCTAAACATAAAAACGGTAACATACACACGGCATTCCGAAAGATGAGCACAGGTTAAAACCTGGAGGCAGCTGCTATGTGACAAGACAGACCCAGAGATTCACAAATGGACTGGATGGCTCCCCTAAGACAAAGACATCCACCATCCAGTGGTGCCTGACTTACCCTTTTTGAAGGGCTCAGCGGGCTTTATTCCCTTCTATCCTTTGTCCCAGAAATGCATCACCCACTCAGGGTCCTAGAGCCTACCTGTTCCTGCCGTGCCTCTTTGTTAGAGCCCCATCCCTAAATACTCGGAGTCACTAACTCTCATCTTTGGGCTCTTGATGTTCCCTTTAAAGAGTCAGCATTGGCTTCTACTCCATGTGAATCCAGAGTCAGCATCTTTCCCTGCTGTGTCAGCCCGGGCCCTGCTCTTTCATCATAAAGAATGATATAAACCAGAATCGGCTCCTGTAACTCATTGCTAGGTCTCAGTTTGGGTTTGGATTCTCAGGCTACCTTTACTATCATCCCCATTCTACTTGATTCCAAGTCTAAGGTGTTCCCAGTTTGTTTATTTGTGTATTTATTTATTGGATTTAAAATCTCTTTCTTCTGAGAGGCTCAAAGCTCATAAAATTTTTTCAAGGAGCAGCTACTTAATAATGATAAAGAAGTTATTACGCTACCATATAACTAATCCAGAAATAGGTCCAAATTAAGGCAAAGAAGATTTGAGTTGGCTCCTGAGGAAGTAGTTGATAAAAGAGGAAGCACAAAGTAGGATTAGGCCATGGGCACATGGCCTGGAGTTCATCTCATCCTGGAGTTCTTCAAGGAGCAGACAGAGCAGTGGATCTCACATAGTCTAATCACCTGCCTGCCGGCAGGGTAAAGCCAGGGCTTCTTTTATATCAGGGAGCACTTTAGAAGGGTGGCTAGGTGTTGTACTTGCAAGCTATAATTCTGTATTCTTAATGATTGAAAAGCACCTATTTCAGAGTGATAATTAGGACTGAGAGCCTGCCTAGGATTCCAAGAGCTCAAATGGCCTGACATGTCTGGCCTTCTGGACCCTTGGAGCATGGGCCTGCCTGTTCACCACTCATTTTCCTAGCCACTGTTATAGGGCCAAGCAAGTGGAATCTTAAATGCTAATGTCCATTAAGTTAAAAACAGCTTCCAAATAATCAAATCTGACCTGCTGTATCCAAGCCACACTTGCCAGTTATCCATTCCCAACTACTATAGAAGGTTTCTATTAAAGAAAATTCTCCAGCAGTATTAATGCAAACAGAGAAGATCTCTCTAGGCAAAACCATTCAGGACATAGGCATAGGCAAGGACTTCATGAACAAAACACCAAAAGCATTGGCAACAAAAGCCAAAATAGACAAATGGGACATAATCAAACTCCACAGCTTCTGCACGGCAAAAGAAACAATCATTAGGGTGAATCGGCAACCAACAGTATGGGAAAAAATTTTTGCAGTTTACACATCTGACAAAGGGCTGATATCCAGAATTTACAAAGAACTAAAACAGATTTACAAGAAAAAAACAAACAAGCCCATTCAAAAATGGGCAAAGGATATGAACAGACACTTTACAAAAGAAGACATACATGAGGCCAACAAACATATGAAAAAATGCTCATCATCACTGGTCATTAGAGAAATGCAAATCAAAACTACATTGAGATACCATCTCACACCAGTTAGAATGGCGATCATTAAAAAATCTGGAGACAGCAGATGCTGGAGAGGATGTGGAGAAATAGGAACACTTTTACACTGCTGGTGGGAGTGTAAATTAGTTCAACCATTGTGGAAGACAATGTGGTGACTCCTCAAGGACCTAGAAATAGAAATTCCATTTGACCCAGGAATCCCATTACTGGGTATATATCCAAAGGATTATAAACCGTGCTACTATAAGGACACATGCACACGAATGTTCATTGCAGCACTGTTTACAATAGCAAAGACTTGGAACCAACCCAAATGCCCATCGATGATAGACTGGACAGGAAAAATGTGGCACATATACACCATGGAATACTATGCAGCCATAAAAAACAATGAGTTTGTGTCCTTTGTAGGGACATGGATGAACCTGGAAAGCATCATTCTCAGCAAACTGACACAAGAACAGAAAATCAAACACCACATGTTCTCACTCATAGGTGGGTGTTGCACAATGAGAACACATGGACACAGGGAGGGGAGTATCACACACTGGCGTCTGTCGGGGGAAATAGGGGAGGGACAGTGGGAGGTGAGCAGTTGGGGAGAGATAGCATGGGGAGAAATGCCAGATATAGGTGATGGAGAGGAAGGCGGCAAATCACATTGCCATGTATATACCTATGTAACAATCTTGCATGTTCCTCACATGTACCCCAAAACCTAAAATGCAATAAAAAATAATAAAAATTACAAATTAAAAAAATTTAAAAAACAGAAAAGATCTAACATCTCTAGAATTCCCATGAGCTGCTCAGAATGTGCAGGTGAACAGGCCAGCCCCAACAATCAGCAGTGCCCCACCCCTTCTCAGCTGGGGCCTGAGAACACATGAGTGAGAAAGTTTCACTCTGTTGCCTCAGCCAACAGCTAAAAATCCTAACTCGCATACCAGGCTCCTTAAGCAATGATAAATCTTCACTTCCTCCTTTATTTCCTTACCAAGAGGGTAGTTCCCAGTTTCAGTGTGGAGGCCAGAAAGAACAGATTACATCACTCTTCCCCCACAGTGATTTGCTCAGTCATCTTAGCAGGCTGCTTAAGAGATAAGTCACCCTCCCTATATTTCTTTTTGAAAGCCAAAACTAGAGATTATAGTTCTCAATATAGGGCAGTTGTTAAGATATCCCTTGATTCCTATCAGCCTAAGATCCTCAAAATAAGCCCTCAAGGTATATCTCTAGGACTTGGGTGGAGGTGGAGAGTAGGCTAATATACTGAACTCCAGGTTGAGGAGACCTGGCTTCTAGTCTGAGCCTTGGTGTATAACTATGAACTTGAGCAAGTCCCTGCACAATCGGAGAATGCCCAGCCTAAAATTTCTTATAGAGATGTGAAGGTGATCTCACCATGTTGCCCAGGTTGGTCTTGAACTCCTGGCCTCAAGCAATCCTCCCACCAACGCCTCCCAAAGCATTGGGATTACAGGCTTGAGCCACCACACTTGGCCAACAATAAAATTTTCTACAACTCTATACTAAAAGAAGAAAAGGGGCTACAGCTGCTGCATAAGACTTCTGGTAGCAAGTTCTTCTACTCACAAGAGCCACACCAATAAGAGACAGACCCTTAGTGGTGGGACAGCCACCTCAGGATAGGTCCATGGTCCCCATCACTTGGGAAAGACTGGGTCACAGGAGAACATGGCTGCCATCCCCAACCCTGTTTCTCTATTTCTCTCCTCTCCTTTCTCTTCTCTACCCTGAGACTAGATTATTTATACTTTACAGGAAGAAAAAGTGTGATACATTCTCCTGAGCTTCAGAGGGAATCACTGTCAGTGACTGAATTGAACTCAGATGTTTCTGACACATAAATCAACATTTATATAATCACCATTTCTTTGCCAGCCTTTTGAAAAATGTTGACTTACACTGTTTGATCTCATATTTAACAATTTATTTTCTCATACTTGAGACATCATAATACTTAGTGTCATAGGGTGAGGGGCCAGTTAAATAGAACCTGCTGTGATGAGATTTCTAATCTAATGAAAGAGAAGTCAGAGGTGAAAAGCTCTAAGATCACAGATAAAAGGCACAGACAAATGCATCCACAACTAATCACAGCTCTACAGAGTTAGTGTAGGCTTGGAGACAGTTGATGGATTGAATAGAGTATTATGCATTAAGAAGAGAAATTACTGGTCAGGCAAGGTGGCTCAAGGTGGCTAATCTCGGCACTTTGGGAGGCTGAGGTGGGTAGATCACCTGAGGTCAGGAGTTCGAGACCAACCTGTCCAACATGGTGAAACCCCATCTCTATTAAAAATACCAAAAAAGTATCTGGGTGTGGTGGCATGTGCCTGTAATCACGCTACTCGGGAGGCTGAGGCAGGAGAATCACTTGAACCAGGGAGTCGGAGGTTGCGGTGAGCTGGGATCGTGCCACTGCACTCCAGCCTGGCGACAGAGTGGGACTTCATCTAAAAAAAAAAAAAAAGAAAAAGAAATTATTACTGGGTATGCACATTTTTCTAGAAACAATTAATTAGCATTTTACCACCTATTTCACCACCAAATCTAAACATTGCCAATTCTGCTCTATACCTAAAGAGTGATCATTTTTAAGTTATAATTTCAAACATGGACAATAGCAGACCTTTTGTAAAATTAACAATTATTCGCTGATTTATATAGTGAGTAGTATAATAATCCATGTACTCACTATCCAGCTTCAACAATCATCAACTAAGGGCCATTATTATTTTATCTGCACTATGACTGACTTCCTCCATCCTGTGCTGTTTTGAAGCAAATCTCAGGCATCACCATTTCAACTTTAAATCTTTAATATTTAACTCTAAAAGATAAGAACTCATTTTAATGTAATCACTCCAACACTTAAAATTAATAACCCTATAATATCCAAGTGATCATGTTTTCGGTAGCAAGTGAAAACTGTTGGCCACTGGAGAGATGTGAAGTACTGTCACTCTCGTAGGCTCTGTGGTTAAATGCGACATGTTTCTAGCCTTGCTGACAAGACCCCAGAAAGTGGGTGATGAGATTTCACAGCAAATCTAATTTTTATTATTTGTTTATCCAGCAATCTCTGCCTCCCGGGTTCAAGCAGGGAAGTCATGAGCATGAACTCTCCATGAAAGGAAGATTAGGGAACCTGCCTCCTCATGAACAATTCAATTCTCCTTTGGAGAAGTAGAGACTGCATGTAATGAGCCAGTGCCATGGTGTCACACATTATGTCAGAGCTACACACATAGCTCAGGAATGTGAGTGAGTGCTGTGGACAAGGAAGTGCTTGCACAGCCAGAGCACAGTCCAGAAGCCACAGTCTATGGGAATTTCCCCTGTCTGATGCAGTTGGTTTCTGTTTCGTTGGAAATATTTTAAGAACTTACTTGACATTTTTACTTAAAGGTTTATTTAACCTATTTAGTGCCGTTCACAAGGGTTAGAAGAAAACATGGAGTCATGTAAAAAAATGTTTCATTGTTGTTTTGTTTGTATAGATTTGGGGGGTGTTATGTAGCTATGTTACATGGATATAATGTGTAGTGGTGAAGTCTGGGTTATGTCATGTAACCATCACCTGAACAGTGTACATCAGGCTCATTAATTAATTTTTCATCCTGCACTCCCCTCCCAACCTTTCACCCCTCTACGTTTCAAAAAAGAGTTTTAGTTATAAGGGATATATGCAAATTTGCCACATTCCTTTGTAACAAGGGATTGGTGATGTTCCTTTAAAGAATGTTATATAGGCTAGGTGTGGTGGCTCACACCTGTAATCCCAACACTCTTGGAGGCCGAGGCGGGAGGATCACCCGAGGTTAGGAGTTCGAGACCAACATGGCAAAACCCTGTCTCTATTAAAAAATGTACAAATTAGCTGGGCGTGGTGGCATGTACTTGTAATGCCAGCTACTTGGGAAGCTGAGGCTGGTGAATCACTTGGACCTGGGAGGCAGAGGTTGCAGTGAGCCGAGATCATACCACTGGACTCCAGCCCGGGCGACAGAGCAAGACTCTGCCTTAAATAAATAAATAAATAAATAAATAAATACATGGTTATATAAACAGAGGTCAATTTATGCAGTTCCTACAGTTTCATGTGCAAAAAATGTTATAAACCAAATCCTGTTTTAGAAGCTTTAAAATAGAGCACATAAAAAGCTAATAATTATTCCCTAATTTATGTTGTTTGGAGTCTAGATTTTTGAACACACTTTTTTTTTTCTTAAAATGAAACAATCTCAACTAGTCTTGAAGGATTGCATATCCTTGGGGCTATGCATGCCTTTTCACTCCTGCAATAGCCACCCAACTGGTTTTTATATCTCTCATCCCACCCTCTCACAATGAGTTGTCATCCTAAAGTACATATCTGGTCCTGCCACTTCACTGATAGGCATTTAATGTTTCTATTACCTTCCCAAAATCCCCTAGTTTCTTAGCATAGCATTCAAGTTCTCTGTGACCTGTTCCTGACTTGCCAAACAACCTTATTTCCCTCTGCTCTCCACCCTCCACATATTCCCTCCTCCAGCCATACCACTAGTAAATGCTTTTAGAACATAGTCCATATTTTTCCAAACACTGAACCACTGAATTCATTTCTAGAACTAGGGTCAATATAGCCCAGTATTTAAGAGTTGCAACACCAGGCCGGGCGTGGTGGCTCACATCTGTAATCCCAGCACTTTGGGAGGCCGAAGCAGGTGGATCACCTGAGGTCAGGAGTTCAAGACCAGCCTGACCAATATGCAGAAACCTTGTCTCTACTAAAAATAAAAAAATAGCCAGGCATGGTGGCACATGCCTGTAATCCCAGGTACTCAGGAAGCTGAGGCAGGAAAATCACTTGAACCCGGGAGGCAGAGGTTGTGGTGAGCATGTCAAATGCTTTGCCAGTGCCTGGCACATAATAAACATTCAATATATAGTAACTCTTATCCTCTACATTTCAATGTGTTAAGGTCCAGCTATCTGTCAAGACCTAGCTTAGCTGATACCACTCTGTGAAGCCTTTCCAGCTCCTCCAGCTGAAAGTCAGCTCCTGTCTTCTGGGATCCCACAGCTCATGCATACTCTCTTTCTCAGCCCTAACTACTTTCTGCCTTGTACTATAATTATTTATATATACATCTCTGCTCTGCTTTACTGAATCCCTGCTATGTGCTAAGTGCCGTAAGTTCCATGGGGGAATAAAAGATGAAGAAAACTTTGGTCTTTGCTGTACAACTGCTCACATTCTAGTTAGCAAACAGGGCAATTCAAATACAATTCACCAATGTTTGTTGAATAAAGTTGAGACTCATACTCATCATTAGAGTGTTCTGTTTCTCTGAGGTTCTCTTTTACAGAAGAATCTCAAAGTGTAAGCCAGATTTTAAGCCCAGGACCATTTCCCCACTATTAAGCAGAATTTATCTCTTGAGGGCAAACACACTGAAACATAACTTGAACATAGCTGAGTTTAGTGTATTATCAAGGGAAAAGTAATATTGGTGATGTCAGAGACAAATGATGCCATGGTACTATGACTTCCTTTGCTCCCAAAGCTTTTGCCAAAATAAATACACAATGTATTGGACCTAAAATATTGCATAGGGCTATAAATCACTTCTAGCCTCCTTTTCCTGAGGAGGTAGTTGTGATGAGCATTCTTGGTGTACTTGTAATTCAAGGCAGAGCAGATGGTAAAAAAGGCTGCATGCCCATACTGCATTCCCTGATCCTGTCTGCAAATGTTGAAGGCCATGAGGTAAACAGCCCCCTTGGGCATCCAATCCTAACTGCTGAAGGAGTCCTCTGTCTTGTAGTAAATGACACTTTAAGTCACCATCAGGTTCTGAATGTCACCAAGACTTCAAATGAGGCTGTTCAGTCTCCTGCCTCACCCAAATACCACAAGATGACACCTGTAGAGCCTACCACAAGAGGAAACAGAGCAGCTGGGCAGCATATTTTCACCATGTGAACAGAGCACATGTCATCAAGTTGGCTTCTCATGAAATGACTGCTCTGGGCTGCCAGAGAAAAAGTGGCTTATTCTCTCCTGGGCAAGGTATCCACTCCCTTTCTTCTCTGCCCTTCACTCCAGGCCCACTGAGCATGACAACCTTGTGAAAGGCCTAGGCTGGTTTCCTCACTCTATCTCCAGGGTTGTAATTCTATGGGTAACTGTGATAGAGGAAGCTTTACTCACATATGGGCCCTTCCATGTTTCTGAATGTAATGTGGTTCTGAAACACTGAAAAGACAAATGTATGAAAGTCAAACAATAGGCTTACCTGTGTTAAGGGCAGTTCATTCCCAGAAAGAGAAAAATATTATAAAATGCCGAGTTACATTTCACATTTTAATCACAGTATTGAGCAATGTATTTTTAGCATTTGTAGTTATTTTTTCTTTCTTTTTTTTTTTTTTGGAGATAGGGTCTTGCTCTGTTGCCCAGGCTGGAGTGCAGTGATGTAATCACAGCTCCATGTAGCCTCAACCTCCTTGGGCTCAAGTCATCCTCCCACCTCAGCCTCCCAGGTAGCTGGACTACAGGTACACAGCACCACACCTGGCTAATTTGTTATATTTTTAGTAGAGACAGGGTTTTGTATGTTGCCCAGCCTGGTCTCAAACTCCTGGGCTCAAATGATCCACCCGCCTCAGCCTCCCAAAGTACTGGGATTACAGGTATGAGCGATTGTGCCCAGCCTCTTTTTATTCTTAACAACTGAATATATGTCAGCCGACACGTGACTAAGAGTTCAGATGAGGCTAAAGATTCATTGCTCTCAGTGCCTCTGAGGAGCTTGTCTCTGTCTTCTTTTGGCACGCTTATGAGAGCAATGCTTCCAATCACTAGCATCTGCAGCCTCATTTATTTTCTCAGTTCTATTCATTTTTATTCTTAATAAAAAGAGGATAATAGGCCGGATGCAATGGTTCATGCCTGTAGTCCCAGCACTTTGGGAGGCCAAGGTGGTTGGATCACGAGGTCAGGAGATCGAGACCACCATCCTGGCCAACATGGTGAAACCCCCTCTACTAAAAATAAAAAATCAGCTGGGTGTGGTGGCACGTGCTTGTAATGCTAGCTACTCAGAAGGCTGAGGCAGGAGAATTGCTTGAACCCAGGAGGCAGAGGTTGCAGTGAGCTGAGATTGTTCCTGGTAACAGAGTGAGACTCCGTCTCAAAAGAAATAAAAGAGGAAAATAGAAATTGTCACTGAAACACCAGTGTGCCAACAACACAGAGAGCAACTGGCAAGACAGCATGCATTAGATCTTCATTGTCAAATGCCACACTGCAGCAGTCTAAATGGGAGATGAGAGTCCAGATATAAGACTAGGCTAAGAGGCTGTCAACGCTGTACAGTACCATACAGGTCACAGTTGACCTGTGTGGACACTATCTCATTTGCTCATTACCTCACTCTTTCATCTCACACCATACCCTTCACTTTTAAGGAAGAGCAAGGATGGTAAGATTATGGAAATCAGTATTTGCTCACCATGAATTATTAGTAAACAAGTATCATTTATCTTACTCAATACGGTAAATACTGAGTAACTGCATAACCATCTGATGAGATGTTAAGAAGAAAGATGTTAAAGGAGCTCTTTACACAGGACCACAGGAAGCACAACAAACCAACAATATTACAGAGTTAATAAATATCAGTGATGAGGCTGGGCTCACTGGCTCACACCTGTAATCCTAGCACTTTGGGAGGCTGAGGTGGGTGGATCACCAGAGGTCAGGATTTTGAGACCAGCCTGACCAACATGGTGAAACCCTGTCTTTACTAAAAATACAAAAATTAGCCAGGCATGGTGCCGGGCATCTGTAGTCCCAGCTACTTGAGAGGGAGAGGCAGGAGAATCCCTTGAAGCTAGGAGGCGGAGGTTGCGGTGAGCCAAGATCGCACCATTGCACTACAGCCTGGGTGACAAGAGTGAAACTCCATCTCAAAAACAAAAAAACGAAACAAAACAAAAAACACCAAAAAAAAAAAAAAAAAAAAACAAAAAAAAAGTGATGTACAAACTAGGCGTCTATGAAAAATGCTGTTGGGTTCTACAAGTTACCTGAAGAAGTCTAGAATCTTAACCCATCAATGGAGTGAGCCAAGTGCCCTTCACTGAGACTGTGCTCTGAAGAGTGAGATCTTCTGCATGGGGTAACACACCAGCAAGTAAAAAAAAAAAAAAAAAAAAAAAAAAATTAAAACAAAGACTTGGCCAGGCACAGAGGCTCACTCCTGCAATCCCAGCACTTTGGAAGGTTGAGCTGGGCAGACTGCTGAGGTCAGGAGTTCGAAACCAGCCTAGGCAACATGGAGAAACTCTGTCTCTACTAAAATTCAAAAAATTAGCCAGGAGTGGTAGTGTGTACCTGTACTCCCAGCTACTCAGGAGGCTGAGGCACAAGAATCACTTGAACCTGCAAAGGTTGCAGTGAGCCAAGATTACACCACTGAACTCTAGCCTGGGTGACAGAACAAGACTGTGACTCACCAAAAAACAAACAAACAAAACCACACAACAACAAAACAAAAATAAACACTTGATTCAAACAGAATGTAAAAAATGACACATGAGAAATTTGGGGATTTAAACACTGGATATTTGATGATACTGAGAAACTGGGCCGGGCACGGTGGCTCACACCTGTAATCCCAGCACTTTGGGAGGCTGAGGTGGGTGGATCAAAGCCTGACCAACATGGAAAAAACCTGGGTTTCTACCAAAATCACAAAATTAGCCGGACATGGTGGCATGCACCTGTGATTCCAGCTACTCAGGAGGCTGAGGCAGGAGAATCACTTGAACCCGGGAGGTGGTGGTTGCGGTGAGCAGAGTTTGCACCATTGCACTCCAGCCTGGGTAACAAGAGTGAAACTCCGTCTCAAAACAGAAAAAAGAAAAGAAACTGTTGGCTGGACGCAGTGGCTCATGTCTGTAATCCCAGCACTTTGGGAGGCTGAGGTGGGCGGATCACTTGAGGTCAGGAGTTTGAGACCAGCCTGGCCAACATGGCAAAACCCCGTCTCTACTAAAAATACAAAAAATTAGCCAGGCGTGGTGGCAGACACCTAGAATCACATCTGCTCTGGAGGCTGAGGCAGGAGAATTGCTTGAACCCAGGAGACAGAAGTTGCAGTGAGCCGAGATCTCGACACTGTACTCCAGCCTGGGCCACCAAGCAAGACTGTCTCACAAAAAAGAAACTGTTAATTATGTGTAGGTGATTATATCTTTACAAAAAGAACCCTAAGCTCTTAGTAATATATATTGAAATATTTAGGAAAGAATTATGTGATGTCTGGGATTTGCTTCAAAATAATACAAGAGGGTGGGAAATGAGTGGAGGAAGAGATGAAACAAAATTGATCACGTGTTGATAATTGTCAAAGCTAGGTGATGAGTAACAGGGGAATCATCATGAGATTCTATTTACTTTAGTATATATTTGAATTTTCCCATAACAAGAAGTATGTAAAATTTTGGAAAATTGGAAACATAAATTAAAACTGGATACAGAGAATCCTGCCACATCAACATGGACAAACATTAAGAAAAATATTGGGGGTAAGGAGTGGTGGCTCATGCCTGTAATTCCAGCTTTTTGGGAAGCCCAGGCAGGAGGATGGCTTGAGGCCAGGAGTTTGAGACCAGGCTAGGTAACACAACAATACCCTCTCTCTCCAAAAAAAAAAAAAAAAAAAAAAAAACCAAAAGAAAAGAAAAGAAAGTAAATAAAAGAAAAATTATCCAGGCATATTATACGGACATAGTAGCATGAGCCTGTAGTCCTAGCTGCTCTGGAGGAGGATCGTTTGAGTCTAGGAGTTACAGGCTGCAATGAGCTGTGAGCATGCCACTGCACTCCAGCCTGGGTGACAAAGTGAAACCCTGTGTCCAAATAAAAACTGTAAAATAACATTGGGAAAAAACAGTTGCAGAAGGATAGGTACCAAATGATGCCATAATCTCATGTATATAAAATGTCAAACATGCCAAAAACTACAATATAAACCTTTAAGGGTACATGCATATATCAGTCAAATTAGGAAGACCAGCATAGAAAGGAGTGGTACAAATTTCAGAAATATGGTTACTAGGGATGGAGGAAGGGGAATACAATAGGAGAGGGTTATACAAGGGGCTTCAACTATTTTTGGAAAGTCTGACATCTTTTTGTTGTTGTTGTTGTTGTTCTGTGACAGTCTCCATCTTGTGGCTCAGGCTGGAGTGTAGGGTGTGATCATAGCTCACTGTAACTTCCAACTCCTGGGCTCAAGCACCCTCAGCCCCTAGAGTAGCTGGGTTGCACCAGTGCACCACCACAACTGGCTAATTTTTGTATTTTTAGTAGAGACGGGGTTTCACCATGCTGCCCAGGCTGGTCTTGAACTCCTGGTCTCAAGTGATCCTCCCATCTCAGACTTCCCAAAGTGCTGAGATTACAGGTGTGAGCCACTGCAGTTGGCCAAGCCTTACACCTTAAATTGGGTCATGGACACATAGGCAAATATGATATTATCTTCTATACCTTTCTGTATTTCTGAAATATTTCATAGGAAAAATATATAAATAAAATTTTAAATGAAAAAAGTGAAACAGGCTGGGCACTGTGGCTCATGCCTGTAATCCCAGAACTTTAGGAGGCCGAGGCGGGCATATCACCTGAGGTCAAGAGTTCAAGATGGGCCTGACCAACACAGAGAAACCCTGTCTTTACTAAAAATACAAAATTAGCTTGGTGTGGTGGTGTACACCTGTAATCTCAGCTACTTGGGAGGCTGAGGCAGGAGAATTGCTTGATCCTGAGAGGAGATTGCAATGAGCCAAGATCGCACCATTGTACTCCAGCCTGGGAGACAAAGTGAGACTCCATCTTAAAAAAAGAAAAAAAGAAAAGACAATTTGTTAAATTACTGGCAAACTTATTAAGAAAATAATTAGAGAAAACTCAAGATCAAAATCAAGAGTGAAAAGAGGCTAAGCATAGTGGCTCACGCCTGTAATCCCAGCTACTTGGGAGGTGCAGGCAGGAGGCTCAGACGGGATGATAGCTTGAGGCTAGGAGCTTAAGACCAGCCTGAACATTATTGTAAGACCCATATCTAAAAGAAAGAAGAAAAAAAAATCTAGGCATGATAAATGCCTGTAGTCCCAGCTACTTGGGAGGCTGAGGCAGGAGGATCACTCGAACCCAGGAGTTTGAGGCTGCAGTGAGCTATGATAGTG